TGAAGTAAGGCTTACTGGCCTATAGTTGCCCGACTCCTCCCTACTACCTTTCTTGTGAATGGGCACAACATTTGCTAACTTCCAATTTTCTGGGACTACTCCTGTTAACAATGATTGGTTAAATAAATCTGTTAATGGTTTTGCTAGTACACCACTAAGCTCATTTAATAGCTTTGGGTGTATTCCATCAAGTCCCATTGATTTATTTGTCTTTACTTTTGACAGTTGAAATAGAACCTCTTCCTCTGTAAACTCACATGTAATAAATGACTAATTTGTCCTTTTTCTGAGGTCCCTCTCCTTCATTTTCATCTGTAAATACTGAACAAAAATATTCATTGAGGCAGTCAGCTAGACCTTTATCCTCTTCTACATACCTTCCTTCGTTTGTTTTTAATCTAACTAATTCTTGTTTTACTTTCCTTTTATCATTTATGTATCTAAAAAATGTTTTGTCCCCTTTTTTACTGACTGTGCTATTTTCTCTTCTGTGTGAGATTTGGAAGCTCTTATAACTTGCTTAGCCTCTTTCTGCCTAATCTTATAGATCATTCTGTCTTCCTCACTCTGTTTTTTTTAAAATAATTACTAAATGCTAACTTTTAGTTTTTACTATTTTGGTCACATCTGCGGAGTACCACAGTGGTTTCTTGAATTTTTTGCTTTTACTGACAAGACTAATGCAATTTTCTGTTGCCTTCAGCAGTGCAACTTTTAAATAATCCCATTTCTCTTTGAATCCATTTAAATTGCTCCAGTTTGATAATGACTCCTTTACACATATTCAAATTTTAGAAAAGTTAGTTTTTTTAAAGTCTAAAACTTTTGTTTTTGTGTGGTGTGACTCAGTCACTGTTTTTATATTAAACCACACTGACTGATGATCACTGGATCCTAAACTTTCACCTACAGTAATATCTGATATCAAATCTCCATGTGTTAACACTAAATCTAGTATGGCCTCTTTACGAGTTGGCTCCTCAATGACTTGTTTTAGAGACAATCCCAATAGGGAGTTTAGAATATGTGTGCTCCTGGCACAAGCAGCTATTTTGGTTTTCCAATTCACATCAGGAAGATTAAAGTCACCCATGATGATAACTTCCCCCTTCATTGTCATTTTAACTATTTCATCAACTAGTAGATTATCTAACTCTTCTATTTGTCCTGGGGGCCTACAAATCACACGTACACAAGTTAGTGTGTGATTACCAAATTCTAACGTAACCCAAATGGACTCCATGTTTGCCTCACTAACTTTTATTAGGCTAGGTTTTATGCTATCCTTCACGTACAGGGCCACCCCTCCCCCTTTCTTGCCTTCCCTGTCTTTTCTATATAAAGAGTACCCTGGTATTGCTATGTCCCAGTCATTTTTCTCATTATACCATGTCTCAGTAACAGCGACTAAATCTACATTATCAGTTGCCATTATTGCCACAAGTTCATGGATCTTATTCCCTAAACTGAGAGCATTTGTAGACATGACTCTAAGCTTATCATTTTTTAACACACTTGCTACAGGCACCTTCTGTCCTTGTTTTGGGGGGCAATTGGATTGATGTTTTATCACCCTTTTGCCCCTCCTAGTTTAAATACATCCTAGCAAAACCTCTGAACTGCTCACTGAGAACATTTGTACAGTCAAATTGGTCTGGTATGCCTATTGCAACACCCAGGAATGAGGGAGTCTGACTTTTAGTGAAGTGTCTCAAACTGGATATGGGCAGAAGTTTCACCAAATACTCTGCCTGAAACTGAAGTGGCTTGATTCAGTTTTTCAGTTTGATTTTTTTTACAATTTTTTTTATCACGAATAGGAAACAGTTCCTTATATTGTTTTCCTATATCTCTTTTACAGTTTCCATCTTTGAGCTAAAAGTAGATTATTTTGGTGTGTAGTAAGTTTGACTCTGCCTCTAGCAGATTTAAAGCCATACACCCCATATATGTAAGTGCTGTGTTTTTCCTAAACTATCAGGATATATAAAAGCCTTTTCAAGTGAACTGACTCCTGGACCCATTGCACCTAATTTTAGGTACAAATCAAACCACATCTTTTTTGTACAGTTTATTTCCATTCCAAACAGAGCTACCGTAAGAGATAAAGCCAAATCCTTGCTCCCGACACCATTCACCAAGCCACAAGTTAATGTCTCTAATACGCATCCGCCTGTCATTCTGAGTGTTATGCACAGGCAGAACTTCAGAGAATGACAGTGTGGGAGCAACCTGCCGTATATCATTGGCAAAAACACTGAAAACTTCCTTAACCTCAGAAACCTCATTGCAAGCCAAGTCTTGATGGACAAGTACATCCAATTCCCCTTTCTGCCTTGTTTTTTTTAACAGTATTACAAATACGTCTCCTGTCTCTGTGAGCAGTAGCTTCGGGAAGACATCTCACAAGACCACCATTGTCCATCTCCACACCTTTGGAATCCCCCAACAACTGCTTTCTATTAGGCCTCACCATGGTCTCTAAGCCTGTCTCCACAACACCACTACCCTCAGTGCCTGAGTCTGTCTCCACAACACCACTACCCTCAGTGCCTGAGCCTGTCTCCACAACAGCACTACCATCAGTGCCTGAGCCTGTCTCCATAACACCACTACACTTGGTGCTTGAGCCTGTCTCCATAACACCACTACACCTGGTGCCTGAGAATGTGCGCAAAGTGAAAGTAATGATAATCTGCGAAGGCTTGGGACAGATTAGCTATCAACCATCTTTCCTGTCCAGAATAACTTTAGGTGCATACACAGTCACATACATTCACATACTCACTCACAGACACAATCAGCCAAAGTCACATACACACAGTTGCACACAGTCTCCCTAAGTCACATAAACACAGTCACCCAGTGTTATATTCAGTCATACACACAGCCATTAAAGCTTCCTTTCCTGCTCCTCAGCGTTATGACCACCGGAGAGGAAAAGAGGGCACTAGAATCCTAACGGTCCATGGTATCTAGTGTGACTGTTAGCAGGCAGCTAACAGCTGCGGTTTGTATTAGTGTTATAGTTCGCTCCCCGTGATACCCAGGTAGAGGATAATGAGATTATCCAGGTAGAGGATAATGAAATGGTTTACCTGGGTACCACAAAGTCACGCCAAAAAGAGTGATAGGTGGGATGGGGCGGTCTTTGCAACCCCTTTCACCTATTACCCGGGGTAGACTTTCCCCACTACACACTCGTTGGCGTACTTCTTCAACAGTGGTAAATGGGATTTCCAAACAATTTGATAATACTTTGTAACCTTATCCCTTCTGATATTACTTGAATACTCAATCTCTTACGGCTGCAGAATGCTCTTTCTTTAATGATCCTTACCCAGAAAGGGATTTTTATTCAGAGATAAATAGATAAATACTCATTATGTCAATGTCTCCCAGGTAGATACAATTGGTTAGGTAATGGTATCGCATTAGAGATTTTTTTTCCAGATTTGTCAATATGGGACTTTAACATTAGAGGGCTTGAATATTTTTGCATTTTATTTTTAATCTAAATATTTTAAAGCCCTCTCATTGCAGCAATATTGTGTCACAGTTGTAAAAGTGGATGTAAAAAACATTCTATTGGTTTCCATGGTGATTGCATCCATTCTAGAATGTTGCCCCAGCATTATACATAGCCTCCAATGTCAACATACTTGGAAACTATGGGATTGAAAATGTGTAATTAAGGAGAATGTTCTTCCTTTTTTCCTAGTTAATGTAAAGTTTACTTTATTTGAAAATATTGTGAGCGTAAAATTGGAATAGTGGTTGATGGAAGATACATCAGGCCTGATTTGCTAAACAGCAACCAAAGGATTTTCAGTTAAATGCCCCAGGGAGAGATGTTAAAGTTTGCAATATGCATAGCTGATGCTCTGCAAAAACATGGTATGGGTCCCTGGGGCGGAGTATTTGGAGAGCAGGGTGGGCCAATGCTCCAACAGCATTAGTTGCTGTGTAACAGACCACTATTTGGATCTGACTTATGAGTTAATTAATTGGCACTCACCTGTGGCTAGTCAATTAGTAGACAGGCCTTTAAAAGAAGAGGGCAGCCTGCTGCAGAGTGAGGGAGAAAAAGACAGCTAGGAGAGATTGTGGTTATTGCAAAGACATTTCTTTTGTTTGGAAAATTGGTAAGTGGGAAAGCCACCCAATTGCAGATAGCAATTCATGTCTAGTAAGAGCTCAAGTAAGAGCAAGGGATTTTGTTTGTTTTTGTTATTATTTAAAGTACCTGCTTTCTTACTGAATAAAAAGGAAAACCGAGCTGAATGTGTCCTGGACTTTGTATACCCTAGAAGGCTGTGGTTACTGCAAGATCTGTGACAATCCTACCTGTAAAAGAGGTGGTTTGTTACAATATGTATTTGTGAGTTGTGAAAAAATAAAGTTACATGTAGAAATCCACATTTGGACGCCTTAATCTTAGCTCTGTCATTGTTATAAACTCTAAACAGATTAAAGAACAGCGCACACATACAAATCCAATTTTTTATCAATATATATTTTTCTTAATTTTTGCAAAAATTTTATCTTTTGGTTTCAATTTACATGGGAAAATCTTAATACAAAGTTACGTTATCAATAGACATACATTATACATTGAAACATACTATGTCCTTGGTAGGAATGACAATTAGATTAGAATGCATAAATGATAAAGTTGAACATTCTCACGATGGGAAATAAGATATGCAACCCTCTCTATTATTACATTAGCTTTCTTATGTTTATACAGTCGGCGGTGGGTTGACTAGGACAATATGGCTAACAATCGTGGGGTCCATTAAATTTGAGCCAGGGGGCCCAAACCTCTTCATATTTGTCAATGGAGAGTCTATCTAGGTGAAAGCCTGACTCCATTCTGTACTGGAAATTCAATTGAGAATTTATTTCTGTCTATTTTATTGGACCCATATTTCTGCAGTTTCTAGCAAAACCAATTTTGTGGCCATAAATATATGTACCAGAAGGTTTTAATAATGGATGTTACCAGTACGGAGGTCAATATGGAATAAAAACATATGTGCTGTTACTTTTACTTTCCTCTTAAAAACTAAATTTAAGGTACCCAACTCTTCACATTTTCACCAGATGTGAGGGAAATTTTACATTTTATAAGGCTACTTAAAATCAGAAAAACGAATATGGGGATTCAGTTTCACCACATGACCATATTAATATTATTATTATTGCCATTTATATAGCGCCAACAAATTCCGTAGCGCTTTACAATATTATGAGAGGGGGGATTTAACTATAAATAGGACAATTACAAGAAAACTTACAGGAACGATAGGTTGAAGACCCTGCTCAAACGAGCTTACAGTCTATAGGAGGTGAGGTGTAAAACACAATAGGACAGGAAATAGCAATCAAATAGGGTGGGAGTGAAGCAGAGCTGGAGGAGTAGAACCAGTGTTCTGTACAATGGCATGAGCGCTTCCCTCTTTCTACTGCCAATACCTCTCCCTATACAACCAAGCATTCTGCTGCTCTATTACATTATCTACCTACCTTTAAGTCATCAGAAATAATCACCCCTAAATCCCTTTCCTCAGATGTTGAGTTTAGGACTCTATAGGAGGTGGGATATAAAACACATTAGGACAGGAAATAGCAATCAAATAAGGTGGAAGTGAAGCAGAGCTGGAGGAGAGAGTACAGTGCTGCCCTTTAGGAGAGAGCAAGAGACAGGTATGTAAGGTAGAGCTTACTCTGGGAGGCCATAAGCTTTCCTAAAGAGATGGGTTTTAAGGCACTTCTTAAATGATTGAACACTATGGGAGAATCTGATGGCGGTAGGCAGGCCATCCACGAAAAGCCCTGCAAGCGCGAGTTGGCCGTACAGGTGCGAGCAGCGGACAGGAGGTGGCACAGCGGAGAAGCCGAGAAGGGGCATACCAGAAGGGGCATACCTATGGATCTGTGAAGAGATATAAGAGGGGCTAGAATTGTTCAATGCTTTATAGATATGGGTTAGCACTTTGGATTAACTCCTGTAGGATATAGGAAGCCAATGTAAGGACTGACAGAGGGGTGAGGTGTGAGAGAACCGACTAGAGAGGAAAATCAGTCTGGTGGCAGCATTCATTACAGACTTTAGCGGGGCAATACAGCTTTTGGGAAGACAAATTAGGAAGGGTTACAGTAATCAATGCAGGAAATTACTAGAGCATGGACAAGCTCATTGGTAGCATCTTGTGTAAGAAAGGGGCGGATGTGGGCTATGTTTTTAAGATGGAATCTACAGGACTTAGTAGCATGTTGGATGTGAAGCTCAAAGGCCAGAATCAAGTATGACGTCAAGACAGTGCACTTGCAAGGACCGGGAGCAGCCACCTATCTCTCTGGAACTCCTCATTAGATTGGGGACTAGCCGTGATCTGCCAAAACTTTGTCAAGAGCGATCTCAGTCCCAGAGTCACCTATTTGAAGGGGTGATAGAGGTGGTGAGGCATGAGGGAGCTCCAGTGGGTACATGGAGCTTGAGGGAGCTCCATGTACCCACTGAGAGCACCATAATTTTAGGTGACCAGGGTTTTCCACCCACCGCTATGGAACTCTGTGCTGGATTGGAGGATGGCCGTGGCATTGGCGGATCCAGGGGGGGCAATTGCCCAAGTCCCCCCTGATGGCTAATGCAGGGCTGGCATTGCCCAAGTGCCAGCCCTGCAATGTGCCTGCGGACCGGGGGGGGTGATCAGTGGTCTCCCTCCCCAGTCCACAGGCACTGTGCTGGCAGCAGGTCCAGTGGGGGGAGGGAGAGGGAGGAGAGGACCCAGGAGCTCAGCTCGCAGCTCCTCCGGGTCCTCCTCTCGCGAGATTTGAAGCGTTGCTGCGGTTACCACGGCAACGCTACAAATCTCGCGAGAGTGAACTCTAGCCCTGGAGTGCGGGCTAGAGTTCACTCTCCCCACTGGGACCACCAGGGAATCCCCACTGGGACCACCAGGGACTAAGAAATGTCCCCCCTCCTCCTAATAAAGGTAAGAAGGGAGGGAGGACATAAATATATTTATTTTATTTAATAATTTTTTTTATTTATTTATTAAAAAGCCTCCCTTCCCTCCTCCTCCCCCCCATACTGTCCCCATACACACACTGCCCCACACACACTGCACACCCATACACACAGTACCCCACATACACACACTGCACATCCATACACACACAGACACATACAGTGCCCTACACACACTGCTGCCCCCCACACAGACGACCCCCCCATACACACAGTGCCCCCAATACACACACTGCCCCCCCCTTACACACACTGCCCCACACATACATACAGTGCCCCACATACATACAGTGCTCCCCATACACACACTGCCCCACACAGACATACAGTGCCCCCCATACACATACTGCCACCCTCACACACACACACTGCCCCACACATACACTGCCCCCTAACATACACACTGCAACCCTGACATACAATGCCGCCCTTATGCACTCACACACTGCACCTTTCACACACTTCACCCCTAACACACACCACTTCTCCCATGCCCTATATCCCAGCAGACCCCAGGTAAGTTGTCAAACTGTTCTTAAACGGTATGACTACTTACTCTGGGGTGGGATCCTGGCACTACTGGCACCATAACTTCTACACTGAGCTGTAGTGGTTATTGTGCCAGGATTATTTATTTAAATAATCTACAAGTGCCCCTCCCGAGATCAGGCTCTGGATCCACCACTGATCTAACACATGCCAGCCACCTCCAAACCGAGTGCTTTTTAGACAGAGTGGGCACACAGAAGAGAGCTTTCCAGGGACACTATATGTTTGGGGATGTGGACACGGGAACCCCATGCTTTGTGTAAAAATGTTAATTGGCACTCAAGTATCTGGCTGCTAATTAAATTACCTGGTCAGGTACAGAAACCTAGGTGCAAGGTATGTTGCAATCTGTATTGTTCTCCTGGGGACCTCCTGCTGAGAACCTAGGTATAAAAATGTGTTGTTTTCCCAATAAAATCAGTTATTTTTCACCCTACACTACTGCTTGGGTTGAATCTGCTCAGCAGCTATAATGCTATACTGTACTCTCTGGGCTATAATCTCTACAGTAACGTTGGCAGTGACACTCGGGTCCCCTGGGAGTAGGCAGTCACATTATATATAATAATTTTCCTGATACAATATTAAGCAGGGATTGCTAGGATCAGGTATGCTGACCTTTTTATGCCTTCTAGTGGTCAGTTTGTTAAATAACAGTCATAGATTATAAAGTCATCATAGATTGTGAATATACTTGAGCAGGACTTCTTTACCTCTTGACTCTGTTAATATTTTAATGTAAACTCATTGTGTCAATTATCCTCATGTCATGATTGTAAAGCGCTGCAAAATTTGTTGGTGCTATATAAATAATAATAATATTAGATAGGTACAGACTCAGCATTTATTAATAGGATGTAACAGCGCCCAGCACAAGCGTTCACGTGACCGTGCCTGATCGGCGCGGATACATTAACATAAACTTACCTAACTCGCAGCTGTTTACTTCCCGATCCACTCACATTACTGCCCTCGCTGGAATGCCGTTCTGAAGGATGCAGGTCACCACGATCCCACTAAATCTTATAGCCCTGCCCCTAACCAGTAGAATTTTTTTGTAAATGTACATGCAATAATAGCTCTTAGCTCTTAAAGAATGGAGACACCTTCTGGAGGGTTTCAAGGAAACACTGATAATTATTACTGACCATAAGAACTTTACATAAATAGTAGAGGCTAAAAGGCTATCTTCTAGACAGCCAGATGGTCTTTGTTTTTATCTATATTTAATTATGTCATTATGTACAGACCAGGTACACAAAACATATGAGCTGATGCCTTGTCCAAACAATTTGATACTGAGGAGGAACATGAGCAAGAACTTTCTCCTATTGTACCTCCAGACTGTATTGTCACTACTATGGTTCTTTCCTTGTCTTCACCTCTACTTAATACCATACTGGCAGCTCAAGTTCAGGCAACTAAAGATAAACGTCAAGATACCTTGTTTATTTCATGACAATGTGATGAAGATTTTTGTGGCCTTCTCTGAGAAATACTGTCCGAGATGTCAAGGCATGCACAACATATGCAATGACTAAAACTTCTTGTCAATTACAGTGTGGTTTATTACAACTACTTCCAATACCGAATGGTCCATGGTCCCATTTAGCAATGGATTTCATAGTCAACACAAGACTATGATACAATATTAATGGTTAATGACCTCTTTACTAAAATTGATAATTTCATCCCACTTAAGAAAATACTGTCTTCATTCATATTACACAGTATTCCTCATAATATTGTGTCTGACAGAGGCACACAATTTTTGTCATGGTTTAGGAGGTCTTTCTGTAAAGAATGGGACATTGACCTATCATTTTCTTCCTCTTACCATCCACAAACTAATGGTGCAGGAGAAAGGGCAAATCAAGCCCTAAAGGTGAACTTGTGTGGTTTTGGTTTGTTCTTGACTATACTTCACATATCCCTGATCTATTGGCTTGTCTCCTTGTTTCTGTCTCATTCTGTACCCCTGGCTTGATATTTCCATTCTATAATACGTTAAGTCCGGACTCTCTGACGCCTGGTAACATATTTTTCTTTTGTTGTATTTTGTGTGTGTTGGGTCATATATTATCCTGACACAGGGCTTCCAAAGAGAGAGAACAAAGGACGCACTTTCACTTTTGTCATTTTTGCAGTCTTTTAAATGCAGTCTGAGTGCTTTAGATTTGAAGTGGTATGTGACAAAAGTCAGGATCAGTAGATGATGTTGGATGAGAAAAGATTTCTGTACTGACATTGGATAAGTTACAAACCAGTATCAGGAGCTGATCTTTAAAATGTTCTGACTTTCAGCTTGGAACCCAGACCTAGTCAGCCCAGTGTTTGTCCATTCTCCTAAGGGACAATATAGCAGAGACCCAGCCTTTTTCTTACAGCAGCACTACTCGCCCAGTAGTGCCAAAGAACTTCCAGAGAGAGAGACAGCACTCTCACAGAAGTTCCCCCACAATTATCAGCCAGATACTTGATGAAGTGAGGAAAGGCAATGTACACGTTCTTGAGACTCACAATGGGTTTTTGTACATTTCTTTGTTTTTAGAGTGAATAAAGGCCTGTGCAAGGATTTTTGGCTAAACAGGCTAAGATGCATTTTACATCTTTACATGTGTGTCCTTTAATCACCCTCTTGAATTTATTACCCCCCTTTGAGTTTCATATCCTCTCTTTTGAATATTTTACCCCATTTAGAATATCTTGTCCTTTGTTTTTCATTTTGTGTGTCTCTTACACCTCCCTTTTGTGTCTCTTATCCTTCCCAGTTCTTTTGTGTCTCCTACTTCACTCGGCTCCTTTGTGTGTATCTTTCTCCCATGAGTTCCTTTGAGTGTCTCTTTCTCTTTTTTCCGAGCCTCTCCGTGTGTCTCTTCCCTTCTCCCTTTGTGTGTTTCTTTTTCCCCTTCCCTATTCCCTCTATGTGCTTTTGCCCCACAGCCAATTTTGTGTATCTCTTTCTCCCCTTTCTCCCCTTCCTCACCCCTTCTATGTCTTTCTCCCCTCAGAAACTTGTGGGTGCCTATTTTTCCCTACCCAGCCTCTCTGTGTCTCTTTGTCCCCCCACCAACCCCTCTGGGTGTCTCTCCCCCTAGCCCATATCTGTCTCGTTTGCCCCTTCTCCAGCCCCTGTCTCTTTTGCCCCCTCCCAACCCCTTTGTGTGTCTCTTCCCCAACACATTGTCTCTTTCTCCTCTATAGCCTGTGTCTCTTTGTGTCCTCCTAGCCTCTCTGTGTCTCTTTGTGTGTGTCCCCCCAAAGCCCCTGAGTCTCTATGTGTACCCCCAATAGCAGTGTGGACTTGGGATAGCATACTATGAATTGTATGTGCGCTGATCCTTAAACTGTATTTTGTATTTGAATCATTAGGGCAGCACCAATGCTGAGAAAATGGTTGCCACCGATTTTTTTCCTTCCTATAAACTAGCCTAGAAGTCTCTGGAACAATGAGACAATGCCCTGCTTTGCAAACAACAAGACAGGAAAGGGGCAAAGGAGGAAAGGAACATACAACATGGACCATCAATACATTCAATTTTAATTCCAACTACACAATGTAGAAAATCCACACCATTTTACACCAGATAATAAGACATTGTAAGGTGGGTTAGTGTCTGTTACACAGCTATTTTGCATTAATCTTTTCAGTGCGATAGATGTAAATACCTGGAACATCATTTAGGCCTGCAACCATTATTAACTTAAAACCAGAACCTAACTTGTGTTAGAATTATTAATCTAGCTTTTGATTACAAGCTTTGTAAGATGACATAAGGTTCAAAACTAATTTTAGATTCCTTCACCGGCCCAAGCAGCAGCAACGCACCCAACAAAGCCGGCACTTTAAAAGTAGCACCGGGTCTGTCTGCCACAGGGGCAGCTGCCCAACATACTATGAGCACCAATTACAAACCATATTCGTTTGCAATAAATTAATTTTGTTTGCAACTGGTAAAGTCATGTATACTCGATTCCTGGGGTATGTATATCATGAGTCCTGTAGTAAAGTGGTTAGGAACAGTTGTAATCACTACAATTAAGTTCTTCTGTTGAAATTGTTTTCCAGGAAATTGTATTCCAAAGAGATATACATTATTAATATTTGTAATACATCACAACTTTGATAAATATATAGATCTAGTGGCACATAAAAACTTGAATAATACTGGGGCGAATTCTGTGTTAACATTTCCCATTGCCCTGCTATTGAACACCATTGATACTCAACTGGGGACTTGTGGCTTGAACACAGGGCCGGTGCAAGGATTTTTGCCGCCCTAGGCAAATAAAAATTTGCCCCCCCCCCAATGCCCACCATGTAACATCACAATGCCCCGCCCATATGGGCCAACGCCAGTCTTCACAAAGTGTCTTTTATCTGAAAAGACAGTGTGTTTACATTAAAAAGCCTACAGGCACAGGCTATAGACACCAGAACCACTACATTATGCAGTAGTGCTTCTGGTGACTATAGTATCCATTTAATGTGAGATTAGTGCCACTAATAATATATTGGATTGCCTACTTACCACCAGATGAAGACAAGAGGCTGATGATGGGCTCTGTCTGGCTCCACAGGTCTGGTGTAGAAGAGGCTCTCTGGAGACTGTTTTTAACAGTGCTCACAACAATTAACGAACAGGAAGCAGCTCCATTTTTTAGGGCCCCTTACACAGCTCAAGGTCTGGGCCCCCAGGGCTTGACCATGAGTATGCCTACAATGCCCACCCATAAATACCTACATGGCCCACCCATGAGTTCTCTCACAGGAAGTGTAGTGTATGTGTGTAGGGGATGTTTTATGTGTTATTGTAGAGGATGCAATGTGTGTGTGTTCTTATAGAATGTAGTGTATAGGGATACCAATTTGTATAAGGGATGTAGTGTGTTTATAGGGGATGCAGTGTGTGTTTACGCGTAAGGAATGCATTGTATGTTTCTGTGTGTGTAAGGGGTGCAAGGTGTGTGTAATTGAATGCAGTGTGTGTCTGTAAGGGGTGCATTGATTGTGTAAGAGATGCATTTTGTTTCTGTGTGTAAGAGAATGAGTGTTTGTGTGAATGTAAGGGATGCATTGTGTGTTTCGGGTGTGTCTGTGTGTGAGTAGGAATGCATTGTATGTTTCTGTGTGTGTGTGTAGGGGGGGGAATGAATTGTGTTTGTGTCTAGTGTAAAAGAGAGGGTTTGTGGGGTAGGATAGGGACTGAGAGGGGAACAGCTCTTTATTTTTTTTTAAAAATTTTCATAGTGCTCTCCCCTCCTGTCAATTATTGATTTCCCCTTCCCTCCTGTCCCTCCATGTTCTACCCCTTCTGTCCCTTAGTGCTCTACCTTGGCTCCCTGTCCCTCTGCAGTCCCCCCTTGGTGGTCTTCTCACTCCCCCCTCTCTCCCTTAGTGGTCCTCCATCCCTTCCCTTAGTGGTCCTCCCTCTCCCAAACCCCTTAGTAGACCTTCCCCTCCTCCCCCCACCCCCTTAGTGGTAATCCCCCCCCCCAGTGGTCATTACCCTCCCCCTCCCTTAGTGGTCCTCCCTCCTTACCCCCCTTTGGTGGTCCTTCTCCCCCTTAGTGGTCCTTACTCCCCCCCACTCCCCTAATGGTCCTTACTCCCCCCCCTAATGTCCTGCTCCCTCCCCACTCTAATGGTCCTAGTCCCTCCCTACTCCCTCCCCTAATGGTCCTTACTTCCCTACCCCCTAATAATGGTCTCTGCTCCCTCACCCCCTAATGGTCCTAGTCCTCCCCTACTCCCCTACTGTGGTCCTACCTCTTACCTCCTAATGGTTCCAGTCCTCCCTACTCCCTACGTTCCTACCCTTCCTAAAGCAGGCAGCTGGACAGAACCTTGTTTTTCCTGCTCCGCCGCCGGCGGACTGAAGGGAAGTGCTCACTCAGTGAGCACTTCCTGTCATTCCGCCGGCGGCCGGGTACAGGAAACAGAGGTTCCTGTCCCGCGTTCCGCGCTGCCCGGCCACGCTACATTGAGAGACCGGCAGGAGGGAGCGCTCTGCGCCTCCCTCCTGCCGGTCACAAACCTGGCCGCCCTCCACACAGCAATGCCGCGCCGCCTGGGGCTTGCTAAAGCGCTCAGGCGGTGCAGCATGAGGAGCCGCCGGGTGCAGGGATCCGGCGCCCCCTGCTAAGTTGCGCCCTAGGCGGCTGCCTAGGTCGCCTTACAGGTGGCGCCGGCCCTGCTTATAGTTACAGTGTCATCTAAGCATATCGACAGATTATAACATTTGTCACATTAGTTAGTGAATGAATTACGTGAATTAAGTAAATACAATTGCAATAAATTACTTTTTCTCTGTTGAGAATTATCTTCTTACAGAGGGATAGGGATGCTAGTTAATTATGATGTGTCAGGGAGCAACATCATGAACTAGAAAAGCTACAATTTCTGGGGATATTGTGTGAAGTGTTCTTGCCTCCACCAGTAGTCTACAACTGGAGTGGGCGGAGTAACTGTTATTATTTATTTATATAGCACATTTAATTGCAACGTTGTGGCCCAAAGTGCTTCACAGTTACATTAAAACATACATTTATAAAAACATTAGCAGGTGTACAAAAGGCCCTGTCTATGATATCACTTGCTGCTCCAGCCTGGCACAGGTCAGAGTATTTTGGTGGTTGCCATCTTCAAACGACCGTATTTTAAAAAATCCTACAGCGAAGAGCTTTATATTGTGAGA